AGAGCCGTTCGATGTGTGATGGACGCCGATGCAGAGGTGAGGAAGAGGGCTAAAGAAATGAGCGAGAAGAGCAGAAAAGCCATCATCCATGGCGGTTCCTCTTACATTTCATTTGGGAATTTGATAGACGACATGTTGGCTGAGTTTCTTTAACATCTGATCTTGATTCCATGTGCTTTTTCGTTTTGGGTTCTTTAGTTTTCATGAGAGAATTTATGGAACGGATCATGGCAAAAGGGAAACAGTTTAGAGAATGATAATTACATATATCTTGTTCTTACAAAACAAGAAAAACGAAATAAAAAAGAATACAGAGTATGAATCAGTGATTAGAAATGGAGTTTCATTTGAGATGCGGGATCCTTCTTCTTCTTCTTCTTGAAATGCTTGGTGGCAGCTTTCAGTAACTTGCTCCATCCCTATACATTCATGGGAATCGAAATCAAAAAGCAGGAAAGAACAAGAACAAGTACAGAACAGATCTTGAAAATTCCAGGTGAAAAGCAGAGTCATGGTTCAGAACTGACCTTTTTATTATTGGGATAGCAAGAACCTTGCAGTTGCAGGGGCGTGGGGGAGAAATCAGACGCCATTTTCTTGTTCTTCATCCTCTTAACCTTCCTGCCGCTTTTCGAGAGGCCGAAATTGACAGTGAAGCCATTGAAGAGGAGCTTCTTCTTGAGGTTGGAGGTGGCTTTCTTCAAACTGCTCTTCTGGGTCTGCTCCAACGCCATTTCAGAATCAGAAGGAAGCTTGATGGGGGTGATTGCATCCAAATCCATGGAGTTGTAATGGCGCGGGACCAACGGGGACCAGATGGTGCTCTGTGAGTAATCGAAATCGAAAGCGGAATTGTCAGGGAATTTGCAGAGAAGCTCTTTGGCCATCACTGGCTCCAAATACTCCACAACTTTGATCAGCCTCTGCTTCTCCTCCTCGTCATCTTCCCAAGACTGCATATTCATTTCTCCTGAGTTCTGAATCTGATACAGCTCGAAAGCTTGAATCTTTCTTTGCTTTCGTTCCTTTTCTTCTTCTGATTTGAAGGTATGGGGGAAGGGACAAGGAAGGAAGAAGACAGTGAAAAGTTACCGTTGGAATAGCAGAGTGGTTGTGGGCTATTGGTCATGTGGTGGTTCCCAGAAAGTGGGCTTCAAATGGGTTGGTCTAGTGTTGGCCCCAAATGTGATGTGAATTACCAGATTTATCCCTACTGCACTTTTTTTTTAATAATTAAATAAGTTATCCCTGTTAAAAAAAAAAAAGTCACATATATTTGATTGAATCCACAAGATTCTCATTGTTGGAAAAATTAATGCTAATTTATGTATAATTGTAAATGTTTAAACGTGGCCCACCTAATTTTAATTTAATCAAATTTTTTACAAATGGTACATTAAATGATCTATATTTATTTTCTTAAGGTAAGATTAAATCTTCATATTCCTTTCTCCCACAAAAAAAAAAGGAAGAAGAAGAAAGAAACTTCATGCTCGCAAATTTTTCTTTTAAACTCACAATTTTTCTTTGTTATTAATGCAGTGAAATGTGATATACTGTAATTTATGTAAAAATAAGTTGGTATTTTTTATTTGGACTAAGCATGTAAATTGACTATGATAAGGTTCAGGTTTTAAGATGTAAATTCATAATTTAACCCATATTTATTTATTATAATCTATTTATTGTTCAAATAAAAGAGGAATATGGACATGGACACTAGGAATGTTTCACCAAGATTCTCAAAGAAAGAAGAAATTCACCCAAAAGTCGGGTCAAATTTAGTTTTAATTTTTTTAGATTAATTTAGTTCAATAATAATTAATATATATTTTATGTATTTATAAATTTAAATCTTTCACCCTACTAAAAATATGTAGCTATCCATCGCTACTAAAAAAACATGGGATAAAAAGGAATCAAGGGACGGATAAATCTTTTTAAGTAGAGGGCCAAAATAGAGTCGGGCATTTTGGCGGAGAACCAAAATAAAGAAAGCGAAAGTTCATGGACCACGAAGTATTTAATTTTAAACCTTAATTAAAATTGTTTTCCTCGAACGACTAGGAGAGAAACAACGGACCATTCTATCATAAGTGATTCAAGGAACTGGAAGAGCTGCATTATCGGAGAGATGGGAAGATTCCTTTCCAATAATGCGAACTTTGTAAAAGCGTAATCGCAGATCCAGATAGGGACAGTGATCCCTCTTTGAGTAGAAATCAAGCAAACATAAAAAAAGAAGGTACCCAAATCTCCATTTCTTCATCTCTCTCCTCTGCCAAGCTAGAATCTATTCTGATTATGTTAGAATTACGAACCAGCAAAGGGTTACACTTTCATGTCATCTGCATATCACTCACTGTCACTCCACTGTAGAACAAGTGATAAACGAATCATCTTTATTCTTTCATGGGCAATTATACTTTTCGCCCAATTGTCCACTTTTGCCCGCCAAGTGTTTGTATAAATGCTGCTTAGAGCAAAAATCACTTGGAGTCTGGTTTTGACATGATTATAATTTCTGAGCAATGGAGAGACTGTGTATTGCCGTAATTTATATCTCTATTGCACTTGCATCCACTACCCTGGCTATTCCAAGTGGTAAATTATGTTTTTGTCATTTCCAAATTGTGTCTACTTTAGTGTTCGTTTTTGTAATTTGTCATGAGACTATTCTCTCGCAGATGCTGGGATTTACTCCAGAAGATTGAAACTAGAAGAACATAGACACAGACTCAGCAGAAGCTCAACCAGTGAGCCCCTAAGGAAGCTGAAACTACAAATTCAAGAGGGTTCAAATTTAAAACCCCAACTGAAATTCTTGACTGTTGAACCAAATGCTGT